TTAGCTTGTTCTAAGTAGGTGCTTTAGACCACTGAGCCATCTTACCAGCCCCCACCATGAGCTCTTTATGAAGCTTCTACGCCATCCCTGCTGCCTTGCTCCCTCCAGGAGCCAACCCTAGTTAGCTTGCTGTGACCTACCTGCCACACAGAACAGCAGTCACAGTTGTCTGAACCAGTCATGTAAGGTAATTGTACCTTACCCAACAGAAGCAAAATGAATACGTGTGTGTGTGTGTGTGTGTGTGTGTGTGTGTGTGACCGATTTTAACAAAATATTGGTCGAAGGAAAGGAAGGGAAAAAGGGAGATGAGGGAGGGAAGAAAAGAAAGAGAGAAGAGAAGAGGGAGGGGGAAGAAAGAACGAGAGAGAAAAATGCCAAGGACCAGGCGTGGTGGTACAACCCTCCCCCACCCCCCTCTCTGGGAGACTGAGGCAGGAGGAATGTACATTTAAGACCAGGCTGGGCAACCTACTGAGAACCCCGTCTGAGAATGAAAACTAGAAAGGGCTAGAGATGTAGCTCAGAGGTACAGAACCCATGAGTTCAATCCCAAGGAAGGAAAGAGGAGAAAGAGAGAGGAAAGAAGAAAGAAAAGCAAGGGAGCAAAAGAAACAGACAAGAATTCCAAGGAAAGGAGTGAAGACTCACTAAAAGGAGGTTTCTGGGTTTTCTTATCTCCCCCCTTCATTAACTCTTCACATGATAAGTGGGTAGTAGCATCAGTGGTTATTGGTATTGATGATTGTCATTTGCAATACCTGATATTTACATATGAAACCATTTTCTAGAGCCCACATATGCATTTGAAGTGTGGACCATACCCAAGAGATGTTCAGTGCCTTGCTGGTGGCCGTAGGCCTAGGAAGAGGTGGAGTCTAGGATTTGAGACATCATTTCTAATTGTTTTCTGGCCTTTTAGAATGAGAACAACTATAAGAGGTTATGATACTATTGATTTTTATTTTATTTTATTTTTTAATTTTTTTGTGGAACCGGGGATTGAACTCAGGCCCTTGTGCTTGCCAGGCAAGTGCTTATTCTACTGAGCTATCTCCCCAGCCCCTGATACCATTAATTTTTAAAAGAAAAATAAAAACATTTGTGTATACTTTCTAAGGAAGGCAAATGGAAAACAGACTTAAATTTCAGATAGTTTTCAAAAGCAGAAATTTAGAACAGAGCTCTTTCTTAATGAGCAGAGCAATCTAGTTCTTGCAAATGTTCATTTTCAGAGTGCTCTGGTTGGGCGTAGCCTTGAGAGTACTGGGTCAAATAGCGTACGGACTGCTGGTCAGGAGCAGGGTAGTGTCCTCACCCAGACTCCTGTCACTCCCAGCTCGGCGCTGTCTCCACTGGGTGGCCCTGGAGCAGTTAGGTCACCTCTCTCCACCTCAGCACCAGACATGCCGCGATGCTTATCTCGGTCCCTAGCTGCATGCAGTGCTGTGCTGAGCTCCTTGTACAGATAAGGAGATGGCCATTGGAATTGTTTTGAGGACAAAGTGAGATAGCTAAATAGTTGTCAGTTTTAATGATTTGGGAGTTTTTGAATCACTTTAATTTCTTCTCCAGATTTATGGCTTTAAATGTTCTTCATGTCAGTTTGTAAACTTGGGCTCCTTTTCAAAGAGCTTCTAAGAACATAGAGAACATACAGTACAATTGAGATGACTGTACTGATACTGACTTTAGATTATTTTATTTATCCAAAAATTGTATACTCTGTGTTAAAAATCTAAACACACCCTAAAGCCATGGCTGGAATTATCAAGCAGTTATTTCATGACTTAAGTCAATCCACAGTTCTTTCTTGAAGATTTAATAAAAATAATACAAGAAAGGCCTCACTCCTAGATCTGCAGAGGAACAAATGCAGGGTACAGTTCAAGGCTGCTGAGTCTTCGCATGCCCTGTGGCCCTGGGCAGGAGGCTGCGGCAGCAGACTGAGGCAGTGCTGCATGTTTACCAGGGCCTGGGAGTGCTGCTCACGATGACAGAGGTACAGAGCAGTGTTTTATGCACTCTCCCATCCTTCTTTTCCAGATTGCTTTTCTGGGCCTGACCTCCCATGAGAGAATCAGCCTGCTGAAGCAGAGCAGGCAGATGAAGCAGACCCTGTCCCTCAGGAAGACACCGTACAAGTAAGTGAGCCGCTTGAGACCGGCAGATCCCCACCACTGACGTCCTGACCCAGCACCCGCACCCTGGGCCCACGCCGCTGTTCTCTAACATGCTGTTTGGTGAGGTTGAGCCCTTCTGTTTTGGACGCCTTGGTGGCAGGGCGGGGGTGGTTAGGAATTTAGTCCGCTGGGCTCAGCACAAGGATCACTGTCTTTGAAGTTTTGCCAAGATGGGCAATCTCTGCAGTGAAGCCACATGGTCACAGGCTGTACGTTGTTGGCTCGGAGTTAACGAGAGGGAATTAAGCACATGGCTGAGCGAGCCAGCCGCAGAGCTGTCTGCTAGAAGTGTGTGTTTTGCCAGGATTTCACCCTGGCTTGCGTTCCATCACCAGTCATTCTTTCAGCCCCGCGTTCAGCGTGCCTACTTTGTAGGGACTAGGGATAAGGTAGTTTTTCAGGCGTGGAATGCAGTTCCCCAGAGCACTGAATGTGTAAAACCAGCCTTCAGTTAGAATGAGAGTGTTTGTAGGAAGACTGTCATTTCGTGATAGGTAAAAGATAGGGCTTTGAAGCTTATCTCCGTGCCACCTCTAGCGGGTCCTGGGGGCCAAGCACATGGGCAGAGGTGACCCAGAAGCCCTGAGGGATCGAGTGCTCACCGCTTATCTCCTGAGTTGTCTATTTTAAAGCCTTCTCTTGGTACGAGTTGAGGCTTGAGGCAGTTAGACAAGATCAGAGGCTGGGATGTGACTACGGTGTATGTTTACAGAGAAGAGAACTTGGCTTAACAGAAAGAAATGGCTCAGCGAGGGGATGAGCTTTTGGACTGGCGGTGATGGTGAAGCCTTTTGCTTGGTGCTTTAACCAGAGGAATAAATGTTTATTCCACTAAAACATGTAGGGCTGGGGAGATGGCTCAGTGGAATAAGCGCGTCCCTGGCAAACACAAGGGCCTGAGTTCAATCCCGGGTTGTGCAGAGAGAGAGAGAGAGAGAGAGAGAGAGAGAGAGAGAGAGAGAGAGAGAGAGAGAGAAAGTGAGAAAGTGAGAAAGTGAGAAAGTGCAGGCTTTTGGATAGAGGTGGAATTTGGAGCTGGGCCTTGAGGTCTGGGGCAGGCCTGCCGTGCATGGCAAGAAGGGCCTGCCGAGCCCTGACAAGGGTCCAGCCGGGGAAGGAGTGAGAGCCGGCACCTCTGCTGAGCTGTGGCAATGTAACGCAAGGAACTACAGATAAATCCTGAGAATCTAGTGTCCATAATCCTGTACAAACCAAAAATTTTGCCTGTTTGCCCTCCTTTATTAACTAGGTTTTGAGACAGACCCTATGACTGCTGGCAGGTCTCCCTACTGCCAAACCAGCGTTGTGTAGTAAGGCTGTCCCTCAGCAGCTGCCTCCTGAGGAGTGCTGGTTCCTTCCTGCCAGCACTGCTGTCTTTAGGTTGTGTCATGGTACTGGGGACCAAACCAGGGGCCATGTGTGCTAGGCGTGGGCTCCCTTGAGGAGCTGAGTGTCCAGCCACACACCTGTTCTCATGTATTCAGGGGAGTGGGTTGCACTTAAAAGATCAGCTCTGTGGGTAAGAACAGTTGTTCCTGCTGGAGTAAGGTGGTGGTAATCCAGGAACTTAATGGAGCAGAAGTGACACTGAAGATGGCAGTCGGGAGGGGCCGGGGGAAAATGTGGACATTGACCAGGTCTTGAGAACTGGTAGGACTTAAAAGGATGAGGAGCTACTGAGGCAGGGGTGGGGAAGTGTGGGGTCCAGTCCCCCACAGTTGGGACCATGGGGGAGATACAGCCAGCAGAAGAGCAGTAGGCTTGTAACGGTGACTAGGGGAACAAAAACTTGGACTTGTTGTGGTGGACCTTGGCCGCAAAGATGAGTTTAGTTTGGAGGCTCTGGGCAAAGGAGTCCGGAAAGGCTTCTGACTGGATGGTGAAGGACCATGACTGTGTCAGGGCTTTCAGAGAACGAGACAGGCCCCCGTGTGTAAGGTGAGCCGGAAGGGGCTGAGATGGGTGCATCATGTAGAGTCTTACTTGGACAGTAAGGAAGAGTGAAACTTGTTGATTATGGTTACTCTGGCCTGTGAGGCCTTTGAGATACCCAGGCGGGGGGGCCAAAAAGAAGAAAGTCAGCGATGGCCTTGAGCAGTAGAGGGGCGTGAGACCAAAGGAGGTGCTGAAGGGAAGCCCAGGTGGGCAGCTGCACAAGTCAGCGAATCAGAGGAGAGGGATTCAGACCCAGTAAGAGGCTCATGCGTGGGGGCTTTAGGCATCCTTCAGTACAGGCACGGCATATTCTGGTTTCTCTTCAGATCATATTAATGTTTCGCCCTTTTAAGTCCAGGCACCGTCCGAACGCCTCTGGACTTCGGCAGCGTCCTCAGAGGGCGTTGTGTCGTAGATGCTCCGTGAGTGTGTGTGGTTGGCGTGGAGGTCTGTGAGGAGCTGCTCAGGAAGTTCAGTAAGCCTTGCTTCTCTCCTCTCCCCGGCAGCCTTGGATTCACACAGAACCTGGCAGATTTCTTCCAGTGCGGCTGCTTCGGCCTGGTGAAGCCCTGCGCAGTGGACTGGACGTCCCAGTACACCATGGTCTTCCATCCAGCCAAAGAGAAGGTTCTGCGCTCTGTGTGAGGCGAAGCATCTCGAGCTGTCATCCTGGCCTGTTTGTGTTTTTCTTCAGACCGCTGCCAGGGCCCAGAGGGGAAGTGGAGTCTAGAAAGATGAACTACTCCAAGTACTCTTGGCAGACACCGTTAAAACAAAAAAAAAATTTTTTTAAAGACTTATATTTTTCACAAAGAAAGATAAATTACTTTTTTTGGAGATATATTCATTGCTTATGGATAAAGTAGAATATTTTCAGATAGTAAATTGGCTGTTTCAAAATAGGGCTGTTCTTTGAACATGTAATTTTTGATAAGTTATTTGTCATGGTTGTATCTATAAATATGTAAAGAATATTTAAGTAGGTAACTGTTTTGCTTTCACACCTAATAAAGTTTTCTTTTGTAATTGAGACTTAGTTTATACTTATATGACATAAAGAAATTTACAGTCTCAGGAACGAATTGAGATTACTGGTAACCTCAGTAAGCAAAGCTTTAATTTTCCATCTTACGTAGGCAATCTTTTTTTTTTTTTCAATGTGTCAGTTATGTAATTAGGTTCTTAGTAAGAAATTTAGAACACTAACTTATGAGGATAAATTCCATTTGTCAGAGCAAAAATGGATTGCAGGCATCCCCAGAGCTGAGGAACAGCTTTAATTTTTGCTAATCTGTGAGTCCACTGCTTTCTGATCTACCTTCCGCTGCTCTGAAATCTGGTCTCTCTTTCTTGGTGTCAAAGATCTCGTGCTCCTGGTGTCTGGGCTTCTGCAGCTTCTTCTTCTTGAAGTAAGCATCAGTGAGGTGTTTGTGGATTTTCACTTTGCTGATACCAATTTTTGTAGAGGTGGCAGTGACAAATTCTGATGTGTTCTTCATAGAGGAATACAATTAAGGCTGAGAGGCCCAGTCACAAGTAGAAAGCCACTGGCCAACTGCTTCCGGAAGCCCACCCTCTTGCCTCTGTGACGCCCGGTGAGGATGACCAAGATGGTGCTGGGAGTGATGCTAGCTCAAAGTTTCATCACAGGCTGACTGAAGGGTTCCTTGCCATGGCTCAAGAGCTTTCGGGGCACATCTTCAGTCAGGCAGTATCTAGGCATTTTTCGAAGTTTAACCACCCAGATACCTCCATTCTTGTCCCTACCGACTGGTTTTGTGATCGCAACAAGAACTTTCTCCTTCTTCCTCTCAACCTTTGATTTAGCAGCTGTGTACTTTGTCTTGTACAAAGCCTTTCTGGAGTACATAGCAGATCGGGAGTATCTACCAATTCCTCTAACCAGGACAGGATTTCAGATGCAGTGGGGCTGCCCCTTCTTGGACTTTTTTGCCTTCACTTTACTGTTTTTACCAGTACCACTGGCAGAAGCCTTCTGGGCTTCGGATTTCTTCTCTTTAGTGTCTGGCTTCTCAGTTTTTTCACTGCCATCTTGTAAGATGGGAAAGAGAGCTAAGTTTCCTTACCATCTTAAACACTCTTAAAAATTAATTGCTATTCTTACTTAGCTTAGTACCATCAAAATATTAGACTAGTGTGACTGCACTTCCTAACTTCCTTTATTCTGGAGGAAACACTGATTCAACTTTAACTCTTGATAAAGTATATATCCCTGAGTGTAGCACCTCCCTGCTGTGCATCGCTCCTCGGTTCTCATTACTATTTTGTTTGTTTGTTTTTGTTTTTGCTTTTGGTGGAACCAGGGATTGAACTCAGGCCCTTGCACTTGCCAGGGAAGCGCTTATTCCACTGAGCCATCTCCCCCAGCCCCAAAAGATACTTTTTTTTTTTTTTTTTTGCAGAACCGGGGATTGAACTCAGGCCCTTGTGCTTGCCAGGGAAGCGCTTTATACTGAGCCATCTCCCCGGCCCCTTCCATTACTTTTGAAGTAAAAGCTGTTATTTATGTCATGCCCTGCAAGGCCCTGAATGATACTGGTGTCATTTTGCCAGTGTCACTCTTATCATACCCTGTCCTCTGGTCACATTGCCCTTTCAGCTCCTCAAGGACCCATCTAGCTTCCTTGTACAAAGTCACTGCAGGTGAAGGAACTAAACCCAGAGGGAGTCTGTATCCCTCCCTCTACAGTCACATGAACACCCAGTGGGGCTGTCCCCATAGAGGACCAATCACATGGACTATTGCCTGATACATGGTCTTCATTTAATAAATATTTGAACTCATTTGTTGAACAAAATAATAAGATGTTTTTCTTTTTTTAAAAGCAGGGCATGATGATTAGAATTATATTTGAAGACTCTTAGTTGGTGGGCAAAGGACTTCCTGTGGCTGTGTTCTCTCTCTCTCCTTTCCATACTAAACTAAGTATTCTCAACTTGTGGTCCATAGACCATTTAGATCAGAATCATAGGACATAGGTGGGAATCCAGGGCTTCTTTAAAATTTGACTTCATGTCTCAGATCTTCCAAGTTAGTCCCAACCACTGTGTTCCTGTAGTTCAACTGGTATGTAACATGGAAAGTACGTTGCATGCATTTTTAGATTATTCTATAAACATTGAACACCATGTTTGGTCTCACAGGCCATGGAACATCTCATTGGATGCGCTCATCATGAAGCTTACAGTAAGAAGAGGAAGCTTATAAACAAGACCATAGTATAAGGCCTTAGAGTATAAGGACTACACAGTACAAAGTACAAAACGGGTTGCAAATATGATTCTGTTGGAATTTAGAGATCAGGAGGAACTTCAATGGATATAATCAAGGAAATATTCATGGGCGATAGGAGTTTCGAAAGGTAGGATTTATACCAAAGCAGTGGGCAGTGGGATAACTTGGAGCACATTTGATGTTTCAGGTATGTGATGGCCAAGACAATTAATGTGACCATGAATGTCCCCTTAGTAGCTTTAAATCTCTACCAGGAGTTAAACCCAATATAAGGCTACTTCTTCCTCACACCACAGTCCCTTTAGCTCTTAGCAGGTGTCTTCATGCAGAGATCCAAGCTCATTTCCACTCGTAACTCCACAATTTCCTATAGCCTGACCTCTCTGCTGGGCCCTCTGTGTCCAGCAGAGCAGAGAATGGATGCTCTCCCGAGAGATCTTGGTGGCCAAACTTCATTGTCCACACCAGTGATGCCGAGCCTTTCAGGGCTGTGGGGGACACACTGCCTGCCGCGGCACACATGCCATAGCTTTGTCACCACTGGCCTGAATGCAGTGCCATGTTCCTGTCAGCATCAGAAGAGCATGGGAAGTGTAGCAGAGTAGTGCGCCTGGGATGCAGAGAGGAAGCTCCATTTCACTGGCCCGCAGGGAGGTTCTTCCTTGGTTTTTATTTAAATGTCTGTATTGCCATTAAAATCCCTCCTTTTACACTGTAGTCAAATTTGTGTTTAGTGTGGCTGGCATTCTCTTCCACTTCACGCATGCATTGGACACGTGCATCCCTAAGCCAACGGCGTGGCTTCTCTTACCTCTACAGTTCTGTTTATCAAGTTCCTACCATTTGTAGAGCACTATGAATGCAAGTGTGTCCTGTTCTAAACAAGTAAGTAAGTTCCAAATGCTATGCAATGAGACAGGGCTTTGTCAATTAAATATCAGTTACCACAGTGCAGAGGTGGTAACTCAGAAGGTGGTAACTTCATGGTAGGTGGTTACTCTCAGGTAGTTAACATTTTATTTTACAAAATAGGTGACATTTGACTTATGACTTACTTGTTTTAATTGTTGTATTTATTCATTTATTTGTTACAGGGTCCTGCTACACGGTTCTGACTCATAGCGATCTCCTGTCTCAGCCTCCCCGAGCGCTGAGATTACAGGCATGTGTCACCGTGCCATTTTGGGGCCAGCACAGCATGCCCAGGGTTCCCAGGCCAGCACGGCATGCAGTACTGAAGATCGAACTCAGGTCCTTGCACTTGCCAGGCAGGCGCTTAGACTGCTGAGCTATTTCCCCAGCCCCCATGACTTATTTGATAGTATACCAGGATAAGTAGTTGGATTCTGGCAAATATGGTACAGGTTTCATTTTCTGGGAACACCAGGGAGAAAGAACCACATTAGTAGGTGTATGATGGGATGAGGGTAACAGGTGTTTTAAAAAGCTTCAGGTCTGTTGAGTGTAGCTTGAACTTGTGTGGAAAAGACTGTCTAAAGCTCAGTTGAAGGAGTAGGGCAGAGGCCAATTTGTTAAAAGTCTTTATATGGTAAACTCTTGGGGGCTCAATTGTGTCTCCCCTTAATTCATATGTGAAGTCCAAATCCCCCTCAAAATGGAACTATAAAGGAGTTCTTACAGGTGGGCCCTAATCCAGCATGATTGTTACCATTATTAAAAGAGGAATTTAGCACACACATGCAAAGAATACCATGCAAAGATACAGGAGAAGACCGCCATCCAGAGCCAAGCAGAGAGGCCTCAGAAGAAACCGACTATGGCAACCCCCAATGGGTGTCAGCCCCAGAATAACACACATGTGAAAGGGCAGCACAGGAAGGGATGTGTTCCAGAGATGTTCTGAGACTAGAATCAAGGAAGTTTGAGGGTGAGGTGAGACAGGGTGAGGGAAAGGACAAAGCTAAAGATGACCAAAGTTGTCAGCTTCAGTCTCCTGAGAGACTAGTAACGGACATGCAGCAGGAAGTCTACACAGGACTTTGCCCAGGACAGCCTGTGAGTGGCACTAAACACTCATTTTTAAACACAGCTTTCCTTGCGTCTTAGTGCATAGCAAAACCTGTGGTAAGCCTAAGATTTCATCATTTTTATCAATACATTTGTGTTTGCTTTCATTTATTCCAAATGATTTAAAATTTCAGAGGTAGGAGAAGCCACACTTGCTTAGCGGGTATGTGTGTCCAGCCACTAGAACTGGCCCAGAAGCAGAGAGTGGGGTCTCATCGGCTGTATTTCATTTTTGAGCTTGGCAGTTCGATGGAGAAGTTTCTTAAAAAATTGCTAAACCTCAGGGAATTGTTCTGGAATAAAGGAAAATCATCCTCATGTCGCTTGTCATGCAGAAGTAAATGCTTTGCTTTGTTGTCATTTCTGAGTTTTCATGAAGTGCATAAGATTGCAAGGCTAGTGCTAGAACAAAAGGATAAGCTCCAGCAATTTTATTATTTTTGATTTTCCTTTTAGAGTTTGCTACCTCATTCTCTGTTTCCCCCCAGCTTGCCTCGTCTTCTCCGCGGGCAGTCACCTCAAAGCCCCTTAGCCAGCGGATTCTGAAAGACCGTCTTCTAAGCCCACAGTTTCTCCCTTCTCCTTTCCCACCTGACATCCAAATTCATTCTATATAGCTAATTTTTGGACTAGCTGTGTTTTCTGAAGGTTTTTCAAAAAGAACCAAAGACACACAAGGTACCACCAAAACATTTATTGCCTCTCCCGTCCCAAGAATCGTAAATAATAAAGCTTTTGTTATAGATTAAAGTTTAAATAATTTTCTTCCGAAGATTTTTTTTTCTCACTTTGGAAAAGCCTATGATCAATTCTGAAGAGAATGTCGACCCACTACAAACAAGGCTGCCGGGGAAAACCTCCTCTGTACAGGTAAACTCAGCGATGTGGCGAAGGGCTTGAGAAGAGACGCTCCCTTCACTCTTTCTTTTCCACTTGGTGTGTAAGGCCCCCAAATCCAATGCCTGTTGGGCCAAAGTTTTTGGCGTAGCAAACTGAATGGGGGAGGGGTAAACAGAGAGAATGCTGATTAGCACAGTGTTTCAATTCCATGTACCTAGGCAGGTCCATTTTTCCTATTAAAGCCAACTTGTTCATAAAGATACGTGAAAGTTCACTTTTAAAAAAACTATTTCTCATAGATCTGCTAATAAGAACTCTCGTGGATCCTGCTGGGCACTTTGGCTTTGTTTGCAGACATTTTCTCATTTGAGTTGGCACGCTCTGGCTCTGTGTCGCCTGCCCAGCCTCCTGACTCTCTCCCCGCACGCCAGGCACACAGAAGAATGTGCGTGGTGCTCACTCTTCCATGCCGCCACTGCCTGTCCCTGGAATGCCTCTTTCCAGCCCCACAGTCACCCATCCAGCCCGGGAGGAAGGCCATCTTCCGGGAAGCCTCCAGCAGCCCAGCTGACTGCTTTCCTCCTCGTAGGCAGCTGTGCTGGGCCTGTTCCTCTGCTGCAGCTGTCTTCACTTGGAAATGTGCTTTGTTTATATGTCGAGCTCCCTGACTACGAGATTCTAGGATTTTAAGACTTGTGCCCTCTGTGTCTTCACCTCCCAGGAGAAGGCAAGCACCCATCAGATGCTGAGTTAGGCCCAGTGTGAGCATCAAGGGAAAAGCTTGGGCAACCTAGAGCCATGTCAACAATGCCCTGTTAACCCTCTTTCCATTGTTGCCCTCACTGACTCCAGAGTTAGAGACTCCTAAGGCATCAATAAATGATGATGTTCAACAGCAACAGAATAGGCCCGGGGAGGCTGTGGGTGGAGACACATCGCCCTGGCCCTAGTGCACCCCTTCTTTTCACAGTCTGAGGAGGGAGCTGAGCCTCAACTTGGGGGTTATGGAGGTAACTAGTAGACAGCTGCAAGGACCAGGGGGACAGGCAGCTCTTTCTCTGATCACTAAGAGACATGCAGAAACAAATGTCAGAAAGGAGGAGGGACAAGGACAGGAAGATGGAGGAAAGGAGGGAGAGCAGCATATAGGAAAAAGAGCAGAGAGCTGTCTCGTTAAACTAAGGGAGGCCACATAGACTGCCTTCCCGGCGCTCCATCCTTCCTCCCGGGTGGACTCCCCCAGGCCCAGCGGCAGGGCCCGTGCCTCCTCTCCACCTGGCGCCCTCTGCCTTGCACCACTCAGTGTCCACAAGCCTCTGGCCCCTGGGTGCTGCAGTGGTGAGGAGCAGAACAGGATGAGGCAAGCCTGTCTATTGCTCTTAGACAATTTTGCTCCGCGTCCTAAGAGCCCCAAGTGCCCAGGCTGGGTGGCTCTGCTCCCGGTCAACACAGGTGGAGCTCTAGGCACAGACACTTTCCCTCCAAGGACACCCCTTGGGGACAAGTCTCCAGGGCCACTCACCTTTGCAGTAAAGTTCCCCATCTTTGTCAGTGACATTTGTGGACTCCAGGCTCTTCCCACAGATGGCGCAGCGGAAACAGGTCTTGTGCCAAGGCTGAGGGGCGGGAGGGTTGCATGTCAAAGAGGCAGTAGCACATGCTGGTTTTCTGCAGTTGCCTAGCCAGCAGCCTATGAATTGCTTTTCCTTAGTTAATGGGACTCTGAATAATCTTTCCAGATGCTTGGAGGAGAAAGGACGCAATGGTATTGGCCAGCAATTCTCAGAACCCGGCAAATGGTCTTATTGTGCTGGTCTGTGTGTTAGGTCCTTTAGAGTAGAACAGAGGGAAAGGCTTCCCCATGGTGAAGATCCATAGAAGATACACTTCAGCATAGTACGGGCTTAGGCAGTAGCTTTGGGGTGAATATGAAGATGAAGAACAGTGAAGAAGCAGACAGCTATGCATGTGATCAACCTTGTTTTCACTCTGCAATTCCCCTAACAGTCGCTTGGATTGTTCTGAACATCACCGCCCTGCACACCCCCACCTTGCCTGCCCGTTCTGTGTCGGCCAGGCTCCACCAAGAGGCGCTCATAGGACTGCAAGGCTGCTCTTTGTCACTTTGGAGTGACAGCCTCTGCACTCAAAGTCTGTCCTGTCTATACCTTCTTCCCTACACCAAGTGTTAGCAGGATTTGTACCTTCCTCAGGCCTAACTCCTGCGGTGAGCACCCTGGCTTGGGGCCTGGAACCAAAGCTTTTACAATAGTGTACCTAACTGCCTCAGACAGCTGAGGACTCTGCTGAAATCCAGGACATTTGGAAGTGAGGATCTCTTGCTGCTGTGAGGCCTCTGTTCTGTGGCGACAGGGGCGCATGGCCTTCTATAGTGGCAACAGTATCCTGGGGCTGACACCCTTGTGGAACGATCGCGTATACTCAGTGGGTAGACTTGCGTACCCTTGAATCACCAGTGCTTTTAGCTCGCCACCTGTGTCCTAGTACAGTGATGGCGAACCTGTTAGGGCTTTTGACACATCAGCTCTGGGGGCATATGTACGTAGGTTCTCCACCTCTGTCCTAGCAGTTTAACACTTGCTGCAGCAAACACATCCATTCTTATTTTTTAAGGGTACTTCCAGGCGACAGTCACAGCCTAGAAGCATGAATGAAGATGTATGATTTCCACAAGGGGTGATCAAAACACATGGTGAAAGTTTTAATGAAAATGTATTATGATAAAATATACACTGTCATTAATCTCCCTCTCCTCAAGCACATGTGTCCCTCTGTCCTCGACACCTTCTGAAGCAGCTCTGGAAGTCCTCTTTCATGAGTGTCTTTTACAAGATGTGATAAAGAATAAGTAGGGTGGATACTGTTGCTGTACAGCACCCAGCAGAAAGGCAGGAATGTAAAAGCACTATAGCTTGTTCTTATCCTCCTTATTGGGCACCACGCAACCTCTGGCTCTTTCTCAAAGTAAAAATGACCATGAAAGTCAGCATTTTGTTTTTAGGGGTTTTTTGATACAGGGTTTTTTGTTTGTTTGTTGAAGGAAGGATTGAGACACAAGGTCTTACTGTGTAGTTCAGGCTGGCCTCAAACTCACCACAATCCTCCTGCCTTAGCTTCCTGAGTGCTCGGATTACAAGCATGCACCACCATGCCCAGAAAATATTTTTGAATTGATTTAGGACATCAAATCAGCCACATACCACAACTGAGGACACTCAGGAAAGAGGGTTTCCAGAACTGCTTCAGAAAGAGGCAGGAGCCAGGGGTGGGGGCGCAAGCCTGTAATCCCAATCCTTGGGAGGCTGAGGCAGGAGGATTGCCATGAGTTCAAGGGCAACCTGAACTACATACTGAGGCCCTGTCTCAAAAAGAAGTGGCAAAAACAATGGGGAAAGCGTGTTTCAAAGCCAGGGGGAGGGGGCTGGTGAGATGGCTCAGTGGTCTAAAGCACCTACTTAGAACAAGCTTAGCAAAGCACAGGGACCGCGGTTCAATCCCCCAGCACCAAATGCCAGCCAGCCCCGCCCCCTGGTGGGCTGAGCTGGCCACACACACACATAAATAAATTAAAAAAAAAAGCCAGGGGGAGAGGTGCCAGGGAGATAGCTCAGTGGCATTAAGTGCCTTCCTGGCAAGCACAAGGGCCTGGATTCAATCCCTGGTACAAAAAAAAAGTATAGTAACAAAGCCAGGGGAGGTATTTTGAGGGAGGTTTATGACTCTTTTACTATGATGCACATTTTACTGTAAACATTAACTGGTTTTGATCTCTCCTCCTAACGAGGTCCTGGGAGCTGAGGTGTGTGAAGTGTCTGTCCCCACCTCCCACGGCCCAGTTCTTCCTTTCCTCCAGTGCAGATGAGCAAATCCTACACAGCTCATACCAAAAGCCTCACCTTGCCTCCTCCCATGACCTTCTCAGCAGCATAGACTGACTTTCCACACCGAGGGCACTTCTCTGACTCTCCAAACTTCGCCGTGAACTTGGAAGGGTTGCTGGCGGTGGCTGATCGTGCTGGCTTTGGGGACCTGATGGAAATGGAAATTCGAATGCCGCGTAGACCTCCGTTGGCACACAGTGGGAGCCTGCAGGCTCCAGTGAGCTAGCTTGCTTCTGGGAGCCTCTGCCGCTGCCTCTGGAGAGCGGAGGCGATCACAGGGCCTTTCTTCTAGTGCTGCTGAGAGGGCTGAGAGGACCTGTGGGAATGTGCTGGGAACAGTGCCTGCCTGGCTAATACCTGGCACACTGGGAGCAAACAGCCACACATGGTAAAGCACGTGGCTGGTGTTCCATGCGCGCTTGCCTGCAGCTATGGCGTTGCTCTGGTGTTAGCACTGCTGGGCTCGCTTCTGTGGGGTTTTCTGCTCTACCTCAAGCCTCAGCAATCTGAACTGCGTTGTGGAGGTCTAGGGCAAGATGGGAGGTGGACTGGTCCACAGACCAGATCCTGACAAGCAGCAGTGCAGCGGCCTTATCCTTCCTTATCACAATCCAAGCTGTGCTGCACCCACAGATCACTTGTTCCCATAAGCACAATGTCCCAAAGAGAGGCACATTAGCCCGTGATGTCCTTATGGCTTGTGGTGTTCTCATGTGTGTTCTATCGCTTGAACCTTTCTAGCACCCCGTAAAGGACCCAGGCTGGAGAGGAAACTGCCCAAGTCAAGCCACACATAACCGCTGGAAAGGAGACGAAATCCCAGGTCGTGGACTTCCCTTATTTTGTGGACATCATCAAAATGAAGTCAGCTTTAGATAACAGAAAGTGGACTTTCTATAACACAGTACAGAGAATGCAACCTATCTATCATCTATCTATCTATCTATCTATCTATCTATCTATCTATCTATCTATTATCTATCTATCTATCTTAAGTCTCAATCCAGGCCTGGTGGTTCATGCTTATAATCCTATTTCTCTGGGAGGCTAAGGCAAAAGGACCCCAAGTTTAAGCACAGCTTGGGCAGTTTAGCAAGAACTTATGTCAAAATAAAAATAACTCTTTAAAAAAGTGAACTGGGCCGGGGAGATGGCTCAGTGGAATAAGTGCTTCCCTGGCAAGTGCAGGGGCCTAAATTCAATCCCCGGTTCCGCAAAAAAAAAGTGAGCTTAGGTTCAGTCCCTACTACCAAGAAGAAACTCTCCAGCCGGGATGGAGTAATGAAAGAAATTAACAGAAATTCTCTCCTTAGCACGATCGTCACGCATCCCTCCACTGTTCCAGGCCTTGTGGTGGGTCACTCCCTTCTGAAGGAACCAGATGGCTCCTTAGATGTCCTAACGGCTCAGCGGGGGAGCTTCGGGAGACACTCCTGTGGTTGGGCAAGGCTTTTCTGGCTGGCCCCACTGCAAGGCTGAGCCTAGATACCAGCTGACCAGGCGGCTGCTGCAGGCCAGTGGCCATCAGACAGGATCCTTAGTTCTGGGCCAGAGGTCAACGTGATCATCAAGAGTGGGGCAAGCAAGCGGGCTGATGGAGAGAGGTGCTTGCTGTGCTGTCCCCCTTCTCAGCATGCTGCCGGGAGCAATCTAGCAGGGTGCCAGCGACAGGCAGCCAGGGAGACTCACGGAAGGGTCCTAACGGTTGCTTACTCCTGAATCTCCACCCATTCCCACCGACCCCTCCCCTGCCATGTGGACATTAGTCATCTCACAATGGAAGGAAAGAAATCTTTTAATGACGGTCACTTAGAGAATGGCCATTCCCTCCCAGCCATATTTATGTGATTTACACAGAAACCCTCAAAGGGGAGGAAGAAAGACTCCATGTAGTTTTGCAAAGGTCAAACAAGAGAACATCTGTACATTCCGGGTTTTCTCTTGACATGCATAGCCAGAACCATGGTGTAAAAGTAATTGCCCCTTAGAAAGGCAGATAATTTAGAGACCGCCTTTGAAGAGATGACACATTGTTCAAATTTGGTCAGAGTATTCTTATTGTCATCAAGTCCATGACAGAGGCCATTCTCCCACTTCCAGAAAATGTTGCTATGGGAACGGAATGAAGTGTCCTGGTAACTGGAGACTGTAACGGGGAGAGGGTGTGTGGCAGTAACTCACTGTTGGAACTGCAGGCCGAGGTGCTCCCCTGTGTCTGTGCTGAGGCAGCCAGCGCCTTGGCCGTACCCGATCCCCTTGGGGCCATACTTGCGCCCGTAGCAGACCTTACAGTAGATCTCTGACTCGTGAGCTGCCACTGTGGTGCTGTCCAGAGCCTTCCTGCAGGCCACTGCCGAAAAGAGGAAGGGTCAGTGCTGGCACTGAGAGCCTTCTGCCCGGTCCTGCATCCCAACACTCTTGCTGGCGCCCTGGGCCATGAGCTCAACTTTGATTCCTGTCCAGAACCTCTGAGTTGTAGACCTGAAGGGGGTCCCGTTTTCACGGATGAGGAAATTAGCACACAGAGAATGGAAGTGATGTGTCCCATGTGCGCTGCAAGAAGAGGGCAGAGGCCAGGCCTGGAGCCAGGCAGATGGTCTTAGACCCACTAAGAACAATGTCCCTGGACAACAGATGACAGCAAGAAGTGTAGACACACAGGTGTGGTGGGGGTTGTGGGGCCAGGACAGGAGAGGAGCTTAGCTTGCTCCTGAGCATACTGCACATTCACTGTACTTATTACAGCTTTGCAGGGCGCTGTCAGGAGGCAGGAAACATCCACACCAATGTGGGCGGTCCAGTTCTGGGAGCTAGGGAGAGGTCGATGGGACCAAGCCGGCTCATACACCCCTCAGCTTTCCACCAGCTCAAGCCTTGGGGTCACTCTGGTTGCCCTTATGGGAAGCACTCCCAAAGAGAAGATAGTCCATACCCCACTTTTCCAAAGAGAAAATCTGAAGGAAGATACTTGTTTTCTTGCACACTTGAAGAAAAGACTTTTAACGAGGTGAAAAAGTCAAATATCTTCTTCAAATATTTAACCATATAGGGGGCTGGGGAGATGGCTCAATAGAATAAGTGCTTCCCTGGCAAGCACAAGGGCCTGAGTTCAATCCCCGGTTCCGCCAAAAAGACAAAAAATCACAAATATTTAACCATATACATCAATAATATGTTGATTTGGAAATGTTACTTTTTCTTATTAAAATTCTGAGAACCCTTGTATGGCGTTCTCCCTCTGCATCTTCCCCCGCCCCCTCACTCTGAGGACAGCTGGCCCAGCCTGCTAAGCAGCTCACCTACACATGCATCTGAGTTCTTGGAGAGCAGTCCTGCTCCCCACTGGATTAGGAGGTTGACACCTGCAAATTGTATCTCAACAAGCATTTGTCGCTCTATTAGCATCATACAAGGCAGCTTTGCATTATATAAAGGATTTTCACAGCTTAACAACTCACCATACTGCCTTCCAGCAATCATCCTTAAAGACTTTTTATAGGGGAAGTGCTTGTAACTGAGGTTATAGCCCAGGAAAAATAAAACTCACATTCAATCAATTTTTCTCTTTGATTTTTTTAAACTAGTTCCATCACATGATCTCTGTACCCCATCCAACATGGGATGAGGTTGTTCCAGGCCACTAGGCCTTCCTCAAGTGGTATTTTATTGTTAAAAGTTAAAGTAATTCAATAAAAGAGAGGAAGAAGCAGCTAACTGTTGTGGGGTATGGTTGGCCACGGCTGGATCGCTGTGGACCCAGGGAAACCAGCCTCTGCAAGAGTTCATTCAACTATTTTGTCTATGGTGTATGCATCAACGTTTAAATGCATATGGTTTTGAACCCAAGGCTATCTTCTCATGAAGCATAAAGGGGAGGCTACCTTACATGGGGTATAGGAGGGGGTACCTGTCTCAGCTGTTTTCAGCACCCTCCACACCTCCTGCTCACATGTTTGCTGATGGTCGATGTTAGATCCCAAGAAGACCAGGGTGTTTTACCTTAATATCCCCAGAGAGCATGGCAGAGGCCCTACCTAGAGTTACTCCCTTGTACACATTCACTGAATCAATACACGGATGAGTGAGTGCATGTGTCCGTGGAAATCAGTGATTGTCCACGATTATACAACAGTAAGTTACAGAACCACAGGTGACCTCAGATCCTGTGGCTCCTAGGGTTGGTGCCTACTTGTCCCTGCAAAGCCCTACGTGGTCACTGATGGGGCTTTTCAGGGTGACTGGAGCTACAGTGTGCACGGTGCTGGGATTTAGGAATATGATTAATGAATCAGTCCACTGACTGGTTTGGCATAATTCTGGCTAGGCTTAAGGGTGTGAGCGCCACATCCACCCAAGGGCAGGGAGCCCACTAAAATCTGAGGTGCAGAAACACAGCTCAAGGGTCCGCACCCAGCTGCGTACTGTGCACTTTTCTCCTCTGCAATGCCCTCTGCCATGCCATTCCACCTCGGAGCTCGCTGGCTTTGGTCTGAACCCCCTTCAAACTGTGAACCAAATCAATCTCTTCTCCTTTAACTCTGGGTGTCAGATCATTTGTCTCGGCAATGAGAAAAGTAACCAATACACCTGCTCTGGTGCGCAGCCTGTACCCTACCTGCCCTGGCCAGTTCTCTCGCTGTCCCATGCCACAGTCAGAGCCGCACGCTGTACCAGACGCAGGAAAATTTTTTTTAAAAAACATATTTGGTACAGGGGCTCACTATGCAGCTTGGACTTGTAGTGATCCTCCTGTTTTCAGCCTCCCTAGTGCTGGGATTACAGGCGTGTGCCACCACATCCAGTCTCAGTGGCCAGCTCAGTGTACCTGGGGTTGGGGCCAGCAAAGCATGTGGTACCAGGGATCGAACCCCAGTCCCTTCACTGGCCTAAGCAGGCGCTTAGTCCACTGAGCTATCTCACTAACCCTGAAATGCATTTTTTATAGCCAATATTTAGTACAAATACAAGGGGAGGTACAATATTTAATATATTAACATATATTGAAATTATAACATTTGAGAATACTGGATTAAATGAAATATTTCAAAATCAATTTTTTGTTATGTATTTAGTATAGGGTCTACAGGGTCTCACTACACAGATTGGACTTGTAGTGATCCTCCTGTTTTCAGCCTCCCAAGTGCTGGGATTATAAACGTGCATCACCACACCCAGTCTCATCACGCCATCTCAGCGTGCCCTGGGTGCAGGCTGGCATGGCACATCAGGGATCAAACTCCTATCCCTGCTTTGCCTAAGCAGACACTTTAGTCCATTGAGCTATCTGGCTGGCCCTCAAAATCAATTCTTGAGGTTTTTTCTAGGTGCACTTTTAAAATCATGCTTCTTAGACAAATTGATGTATGTAGCTTGAATTCTATTTCTTTTGGACAGCACTGACACAGAGGATTAATGTGTTGATACATTATGGCTGTCTATCTAGAAAGCAGGAGAAACTTTCCAGGGGACAAGCTAAGGTAGAACTGGCCTCTCTGAACTCGTTCTGGCAACCACAGGTTCTCTTGTGAACGTAACATAGAAGAAAGTGCTCCTCCTGGGGGCTCTCTGTCCAGCCTCATTCGGATGCCAATCCCACTACAACTTCTAGGAGGGAGGCACTGCTTCGCTCAACCCCCTTCCACCATGTCTCCACTGAACAGAGTGTCCTTTTGCTACCTGGTGAACAGGACACCACCTACCACAAGAGGCTTCCCACACAGACCTCAGTGTTGCTCAAAGGAGGGAGAACCCCAGAAGGCTGGATTTCCAGGCCAGGGACCTAAGGTCAGGTCTCCTATTTGTGATACACCATGTGGTAAGAGACAAGCATCTCCATTTTACAGGTGAGGCTCAGAATGCTGAAACAACATCCCCAAGGTTGCAGTTAGGATACAGCAGGGCCCGGACTCAAAACTTAGTTCTTTTGACTCCAGTTTCAGTGTCCTTCCTAATGGTCCTCATTCTAACTCATTTAAAAATGGCTAGTCTTTTTTTTTTTTTTTTTTTTTTTACAAAAGCCAGAGGGTTCTGGAATGAACCATCTTGATAATGAAGAAATTCTGGATAACTGTGATAGTAATGAGTAATGACGATGAATGTGAGGCCTGTGCGAGATGACTTAAAAATAATTACTCATTATGAAAGCCCAGAGCATCATTATATCGGCCAAGCCCATCACTCGGAGCAGGGTTTCTCCCTTTTCTTCAGTGATCATTATGTTTGCTGTGGGGATAAAGACCTTGCAGCTGATAAAACGCCACTGTTTCTGGCAGTCTAGGATGAGGCATCTCCCTCTTCTGACAAATGGAGCCCTGCCTTTGGAGTTCTGGTTGAAACTGTGCAGCTGTGTGGGCACCTTGTAGCCACTGGGCTGAGGCGAGGGGGTGTGTGGAAGTGGGGTAAGGAGCTAGATAAGAGGATCAGCCAAATAGCTCAGCAGATTAAAGCGCCTGCAAGCAAGCTCAGGGGCTGGGGTTTGGATCCCCGGGCCTGCGGTGCCGGCCCCACCCCAGGGTGCGCTGATAGGGCAATTGAGACTGGACATGGTGGTGCGCGCCTCTAATCCCAGCACTTGGGAGGCTATAAACAGGAGGATCACTATGAGTCTGCTTTAGTAGTGAGATCCTGAACACCCAGTAGACCCTTCCCTAAAATACCAAAATAAATAAACACATAAATAAATACATTTAAAAAAAAAAAAGAACTAGATAGGGAGGAGCTGGTCAGACTTCTGGCAAAGCTCAGCCTCAGGGTCATGTGACCTGGGTTTGGAGATGAGAAATGATTTGCCAAAAAGTCCCACAATCACAATGGCTCACAACATTTTGACATTTGGAAGTCCGTGTCTGGTAGCCAATATGAAGACGGCCTTCATGGAGTTTCTCATGCTCAAGCCCTGAGCTTTCAGAAACGGCACAGTAATGTTACCCGCTGCCTGACACAGGTTCTTAGGAAAGACAAGTCACAGCCAGTGACAACTGGCCCAGGGACAGCCCAGAAAGCCAAATCCACTTTGGTTCCAGATAATCGCTGGCCTCCTTTCTCTGCCAAGTCACATTCAGTGAATGCCGCCCTTGGGTCAAGGTTTTCACACAGGGAGCAGAAGTAGGCCAGCTTGTCTCAACTTTGCTACAGAGAGATGCTCTGTGAGCTGTGCACATGGTGGAGAAGGAGCTCAGGGGATACTGTCCCTTCCCTAGGGGCCTCACAGGTGACAGTTCTCACAAGCCCCCAGGCCTAGCTCAGGCAGGCTGGCTGCACCCGTGAGAGCAGACCTGGAGAGCCAGTGGTTAAAGGAGTCCTTGAGCTGCTCCCCTTACCATGTATGCTGGTGCACTCCTATAACCCCAGCACTCTGGGCTGCTGAGTTTGGAGGAGCTCCAAGCTTGAGTCCAGCCTGGGCAGCTTCATGCATTTAGTGACTTAAACTCTGTGTCATTAAATAGGGTAGGAGGTGAGGATGTGGCTGAGCTGGAGGGCCCCAGCACCAAGCAAAGCTGGCCTCTGCAGCTGCCCCCCACATGGCCGCCCTACTCACTGCAGTGGAAGCAGGTCTTGTGGAAGCTCCGGCCATTGCACTGGATTTCTTCTGCGTGGTAGACCGTCTTTTCGCAGGCTCCACATTTTGCTCCTCCACCCCAGTTTGGCATCTTGAAGACTCTGGCCAAAGTCAAACCTAAGAGGATAGAAAGCCAATGCCCTAAACGTGGGTGATATCAGGAGGGACCCCAGTATGAGCTGATCTGAGGACTAGCATCCAACCTTCTTTGTTCAGTGGTTCATTCATTCATCCATCCATCCATTCATTCATTTATTCTACAAATAGCTGTTCTGGGCACACAGTTGAGACACTCAGGTGGCTTTGCATGGCCCCTTTATCACTTTGGGACTCAAGTTTCCTTCCCACTAAATTCCAGTAATATCTGACCCTACGGAACTCAGAATTCTCAGAAGGAATGGATGGCTAATTTTGTGTATCTCAAATTACATACATATAGTACAACCAGTTTCCTACATGATTATGTCTAGATGATACCATGTTAGCCAAAGAAGAAGACTTTTATTTAATGTCAGAAATCAAACTCAGGACCTTGTTCTTGCCAGGTAGGTGCTGTGTCACTGAGCTATATCCTAGGCCCCAAAGAAAAAGACTTTAATTTTTTTTTTTTTCACCTGCAGTTCCTTCAGGGAAGCTGAGGCAAGAGGTCTGCAAGTCCAAGCTCAGCCTATGCAACTTAATGACTGATATCTTGTCTCAAAAAAAAAAAAAAAAAAAAAAAGATTACCCCTAGCACTTCATGTCACAGTCTTTAAGTTTCTGTAATCTTTTAGGGCATTATAAAGATTGGGTTTTATTCCAATGAATACTTTTTCCTTTAAGTATGAATTTAAGTTTTCCTTTTTCTCAGAACAGAACTGCAATAAGCTGAGGAAATTTCTGAAGCCCTACAGCCACCAGGTAGCTGAGCCTTCCCCAGGATCCTTGGGTTTCCATGAAGCCTGGGATATCCTGCTGGCATCCACGGCTCCAATTGGCTGCTTCTGACCTTGTCTTTCCCCTCTGGGAAGCCTGTCGCCTTCTTATAATAGTTGGCGATTAACGCTAGGCCTCCAGGGTCGGCCGCGCCAGCCTGGGTCTCCTGGGCTCATAGCAGAGATGGGTTTTGCTAAGAAACGGAGAGTAAATAACAAACAACACTGAGCTCGAGGCCAGGCGGGCAGGGAGTGTTTCCCTCTGAGCATCTCCCACAGCGCTGTCCTGCTTAGGAAAGCTGGGAGGTTGGGCGGGACCTGCCCTTCTTGCACTGAAGCCTGCGCTTTTATTTAATAACATTTCAGAAAATAACTTCAGAGGGGGAGATATTTAGTGTCCCTATTTGTACAGTTCATGATGGAAGACAGATGGATTTGGCCCTCTGAGGCTTGGAGGCCGGCCTGCTTTCCTTCTTTCTCTCTATTCTCTCGTCTGCTTGGCGTGTGTTTACTTCCTGACCTGTCCCGTCCATAGGTACGCAGGGAAGGGGCAAGGAGGTAGCGCTTATAAAAATGAGTAGTTTTTGTTTCCTGGCATTGAGAAGCCATGTTCTAGTGAGGAAGACACGCAGTAAGCAAAATAATTGGAGCCGGAGAAGTCTTGTGGGAAGCACTATGGAAACTCACGTGAGGGCGTGGGGTTGTCACAGAAGGGATCACATCTAAATGGGGTTTTGAAGGGTGAACAGGAGTTCAGCAGATAGAGAAGAGGAGAAGGATGTTTCATGCAGGGGGTGGGGGTGGGGAGCAAACAGAAAGGCATAGAACCCTAATAGCTTTTAAAAGAGCCTAAAAAATTTGTTTTAGCTCCATTTAAATGGCATGACTTCTAGGTTTGGAATACAACTTCAAGATTGTCTGAACCCCCTCATTTTTAATTCAGATGTGGCATAAAAAGTAAGCTTTTTTTTTTTTTTTAGCTGATTTTATTCTTCCAAGATTCATCCTTCTCTTGAGAAGGGTAATATATTCTTTAAAAAAGAGTAGGATCGCATCATTTTGTTCATGTTCATTTTGAGCCTTGGTTTCCATATAATAGAAAAGAGAAGAGAAATGTGATGGATTTCATCCAGGAATGTGACAGTGACACTTGTGAAATTAATGATGTGGAAATTTTCAATGAAAATAACCCTAGGTCAAACTTCTCATTCCGTGTCTTCAGCGAAGATTCCACTGGTGTGCTCTACAAGCTAGTGGGAGACAGATACGACTCCGAGAAGGTATACACACACATCTCCAAGAGGCAGACCGGGCGTATAGTCACCGATTGCCTAGACATACTTTTCAAAATGAGGCTAAAATTACAGATAACACCTTCTTCACAAGTTAATGTGTCCTAGCGGAGCCTGCTTTAAGTGGTCATAAATATCTGACATGCATACATCAGGTCTGGGAATCCAAAATAGAAATCCGTAAGTACCAACAGATACTCAGTTCCATTTCTAGACATGGAAGCGTAGCAATTAAACCCAAATGCAAAAAAAAAAAAAAAAAAAACCACCCTCTCATATCTTCTTTTAGCCTTCACAGGCCCAAAGTTTGAAGGTTTTTTAAAGCATCTTGAGTCCAGGGACAGCTTCTAACTACGACCTAATGAGCTTGAGCTTGAGTGAGAAATGTTGATGACATTGTCCCTCATGTAGTACCCTTGGGAAGGTCGTGAAAATGCAATGAAATTTAAAACAATATTGAGAAGCTGCTCAGAAGCAGGTAGTGTCATCTGCTTTATTTCAGGCTGGTCGGACAGCATCAGTGTGCTAATTAAGTCACTGTGACTTAAAGCACATCTTGGTCCTGGCTTGCAAGCCTAACCTTTTCAGCCTCCACGTCGCTCTGGAATTCCTGGGCTTCAACACTCCCGGCCGGAGTTCACCCTGGCACGCAGCAAGAGATGGGCCCTCTGTTTATCAGCGTTGCTGGGAACTCGCAAGGCTCACTGAAGGTAGGCACCAAATATAGGCTTACCCGTCACTTGGCCGCATTTAGCGGCCCGGTCACAATCTCCATCACATCACCTGGCGCTGTGTTCTAGGCCAGCCCCTGAGATAGCTGTGCCGTCACAGGCAAGCTGTGGGTCAGGTCTGAAATGGGGGAGGCTGGGAATTGATGATCCGCAGCTGGAATGTAGTGCCCACGGTGCCAGCCTGTGGCAGGCTGGACTGCAGTGAAAGGGCAGGGCCCCAGGCCCCAGTGATGGGGCCCCACGTGTACACTCGGCTGGTCAGACTTCTGAAGAAGCTGCTGGTCTATGCTGTAGTCAGGCACAGACTAGGGACTTCCAGCTCCTTTTAATTTTTTAATTGGTACCAGGAATCAAACTCAGGACCTCGAGTTTGCCAGGCAGACACTGTGCCACTGAACTACATCTCTGACCCTCAGCTCTTTCTTGCCTCTCTAAAGCTATGAGATCTTAGTAAACCATAGAAGTGCTCTGAACTTCATTATCCTCTCATTTTTTTGTTCTTTCCTGCCTCCTTTCCTTCCTTCCCTCCCTCCTTCCTTCCTTCTCTGCGTCCCTCTCTTTCCTTTGTCTCCTCTCTCCAGCGTCTTATTCCCCTCCTCCCTCAAATGTGGAGAAAGACAATACCTTAGGACAACGGAAAGCACAATACAGAAAGCAGCTAGTGATTCAGTTTCTTCCTGGCATTGAAGAATGGAGGGCTGAGCAGAGGACTGGGCTGCAGCTCAGTGGCGGACTGCTCACCTTTCCCACACGAGGCCCTGGGTTCAATTCCCAGTGCTGGAAGAAAAATGGAAAAGAGCCCATGCTGGGCAATGCTGCACACCTAGAATTTTAGCTGCTTGGGAGACTGAGGCACGAGGATCATGTGTTTGAGGCCAGTCTGTGCAACTTAGCAAGACTTCATCTCAAAATAAAAAATCAAAAGAAGGCAGG